CTCAACAATGAATTAAATTGAATATTCATAGGTAATTTAATTTTTTAGTTTTTATCTGCACATGTAAAAGAGAGAATAGGTTCTCTTATATATTTCCTGTTTATCTACCAAAATACTATTATATATGTTTTTCTCTTATCTAATTCATTTTCTTTGCAGTGTCTTTGTCTCATCACTTAACCTATCATGTATATCACTTTTTGTAGCTTTTCTTCCACCCAATCCAAGGAGGAGGAGCTGGTATTGAAAAGTAGTGTTAGTTAGTTATCTGTATGGGTTATGAGATAGTTATTTTGATTAAGAAAATAATGGCAATTATGATATTATACAGTGGCTTTTGAGCTTGTCAATCAATGCTAAGAAAGGAACACACGTAACCGACCACCTTTGAACCTTATAAAAGAGTGTCTGTGCTTAATCCCTGAACACACACACATACACTTACTTTCTTCCTCTCCTCTCTAACTCATTCCTGGTCCCGCTCACTTTTGTTTTTTGAAGGAGTGTTTTTGTGAGGAGAGGAATAAAACATCCCCACCACCATCCCCTTCTGTTCCTCATAATTAACAATTTCTCAAAACACACTCAGAAACAAGAAAATAACCAAAACCTTTGAGATGCATGCACAACACAAATCCCCAAAGACATACCCGACACTTGCCCAGGTAAGATATCCCTTTTTCTATGATTTTTCACACCCACATACTCTAAATAATGTGTACTCTTTTATTTACAAAAATATCTATCAACCACTCCTCACTTTGTGTTATTGAAAAATACTTATACCCAATATGGATCACTCATTCATGTGTTTTATCAATCATGCAGGTATTAGAAGAAGTAAAGAGAATGACAGACATAGGGTTCCCGATATCAGCCATGAGCCTTGTGGGGTACCTTAAAAACTTGACCTTAGTTGTGTGCATGGGAAGGTTGGGAAGTCTGGAGTTAGCTGGAGGCTCTTTGGCCATAGGTTTCACCAACATAACTGGTTACTCTGTCCTCTCAGGTCTAGCCATGGGCATGGAACCCCTCTGCACCCAAGCCTTCGGTTCTAGAAACTTCTCCTTACTCTCTCTAACTCTGCACAGAACAATTCTCATGTTACTTCTATTTTCCCTTCCCATTTCTCTTCTGTGGCTCAACCTCCAACCTCTCATGCTTTTCCTTCGTCAGAATCCAGACATAACACATGTAGCAACCCTCTATTGCCGCTTCGCTATCCCAGACCTCATAGCCAATAGCTTCCTCCACCCTCTTCGCATCTATCTACGCAGCAAAGGAACAACTTGGCCACTGCTGTGGTGCACTTTACTTTCCATTCTTCTACACCTTCCCACCATCACCTTTCTAACCTTCAAACTCCACCTTGGCGTGCCGGGAATCGCTGTTTCATCCTTCGTTGCCAATTTCAACAACCTTTTCTTCCTTCTTCTGTACATGTTCTATACACGCGTTCCTGAGGAGTCCTTACACGTGCCGTTACTACTGTCTCGTACCATGTCACATAATAATGTGATAACATGTGGTAGCAGTGGTAGTACTCTTGCCATGGAATGGGGTGTGCTAATGAAATTTTCAATACAAAGTTGTCTGGCTGTTTGCTTGGAATGGTGGTGGTACGAATTGATGACAATTTCCGCAGGCTACCTCAACAACCCTCGCGTTGCTCTAGCCACGGCTGGCATAGTGATACAAACCACATCTCTTTTGTACACTTTGCCAACAGCACTGAGTGCATCGGTGTCAACGAGAGTAGGGAACGAGCTTGGGGCGGGGCAAGCTGAAAGAGCGAGTTTGGCAACGGTGGTAGCGATTGGATTGGCACTAGCAAGCTCAATTTTTGGTTTATTGTGGACCACTATGGGAAGAGAAAAGTGGGGGAGAATGTTCACCAGTGATGGTGAGGTGCTGCAACTGAGTATGGCAGTGTTACCTATAATTGGAGTTTGTGAGTTAGCGAATTGTCCACAAACCACAAGCTGTGGAATCCTGAGAGGAAGTGCTAGGCCTGGTGTTGGGGCAGTGATAAACTTTTGCTCCTTTTATTTGGTGGGAGCACCGGTAGCCATTGTTTTGGCCTTCGTTTGGAAACTTGGGATGGTGGGGCTGTGTTATGGGTTGCTGGCAGCACAGATCGCATGTGTGGTGTCAATTTTCGTTGTGGTGTACAAAACTGACTGGGAAATGGAGTCATTGAAAGCCAGAAGCTTGGTGGGAAAGGGTGTGTGTGGCACTTTCGCATTTCATCAGGACCAGATTACGGTCAAATGTGAGGAACCTGTTGTCTTTCTCAAAGACAACAACTCAGAAAAGTGAACAAGTTACGCCCCTGATATACACCAGAAACAAAGCGTTTCTGGAACCAAACTTCAACCCAAAATTATGATTCTTTTAGTATTGGAAAACAGATTGTTTTCACACCCCAAATCTTGCATCCTTCCCCATGAATAAGGAAGGCGGAGGATCCAAGATTTTAGAGCGTGAATTTTTATTTTTTTTACTGTGATTATACGTATGCATTTGCATAACCAATGTTGATATTGTATTATTATCTTTTTTTTTCGGAAAATGTTATTTGGACAACAAAAGTTTGACACAATTTTGACAACGGCGACGTGGCAGCTGTGCATTGGCTCAGTGAATTGAAAACAAACCAGAAAAAACCCAAAATACCCCTCACCCCGGTTCACTGAGCCAATGCACAGCTGCCACGTCGCCGTTGTCAAAATTGTGTCAAACTTTTGTTGTCCAAATAACATTTTCCTTTTTTTTCCTTGCTGCAACCTCAGAGCAAGGTCTAGGTAGATGGTACCATGAAACATGGTTAATGTAATTGTAATGGTAAGGTGCATCTAATTTGTACTTTATTATTATAACAGATCGGTTTCAGCCGCATGATTCAAATAGTTGATAGTTTATGCGTCAGATTATAAATTTTGATGCGCTAAGGGCAAAAGAGAAAAAAAGGAAAAGTTGTTAACGTAATGTAATTAATGCATATAAATCTAAGCACTTGTTTTTTTTTTTTTAAGAAATAGAGATATTTCAATAGTTGATTCTATTTCAACTTTTTTTATTCATTTCTGTATGACGTGAAAACAATTGAGTAAGACATATATAAGACTCGGGTTTAATTATCTTGACCTAACTAAGCATGTGCTTGCATGTGTTTCTCAGCATGCATGTGGGGGGACACAGAGTGAGAGGATTATAACATTCTAGTGTTGGAATCATTCATAAAACTTTAAAGATTAATGATTGCGAGTCTTTTTTTTTTTTCTTTTATATCTAACTCAACTTTTTTTTAATGTGTGATTTTCAATTTATACTCTTAAATTCTTTTCACGTATTAGTAAGTAACCAGGTACGAGAAACTTGGAAACCAAGAGTAGAAACTTGGAAATCCAAAAAATTCAATTGATGTTATTGTTATGCCCATCTATTTTACGTAGTTTATGTCATATACAATGAGTTTGAATTTGATCTATTACTAGTGTAAAACATTTTGTTTGTAAATACATTAATATGTTCCACTATGGTATTGTTTTGTATGCCCAAAGGTTAAACTATGATGCATGTAATGTCTTATTTTACTGATAAACTTTATTCATTTAATCATGGGCAGTCTTAACAGATAAGTGAATATCCATTAATCATGAGATGGAACATTTAGTTGTCAGCAACAGCTTTTGATGTGAATTGCTTTATATGTGCAGTTGGAGATTAGGCTGCACTTCCTTTATCCTCCATAGCATGTAAGGGAGACTTTTTTATTCTTCAATGTTATTTTCTGTTGGACTGGTTCTCTTATCAAACATTGATTTTGTGGACATTAAATTTTGGCAGAGAAGGTTCTATAGTTTTGAGTTTGAGATTAGGTTTGAAAGATATGTTTATTGTGAGCTTTCACCTATAACGATGGAAGTTCATTGTGAGCTTTCATCCCTGTAGAGAACAACCTTTCTTTTTGCATCTCACCCAAAGTAAATCATATTTTGCTCATGACATATTTACCATGTTTGTGTTTTCAATAGATAAATAATACTAAAATAAATTTATTAACCGGGTCAGATATTGTTTATTTATTATTTGCCACAAAATATGTATTTAAAAAATATTCCTAGATAATACATTTTATAAAATTTAATTAAAATTATAAAAATATACAATATATAATATAAATTAAAATAAAATTTTATCTAATAAAATATATATTAATTTTAATTAATTTTAATTTAATAAAATATAAATTAAATTTTTTAATTTTAATTTTTTTAATATTTCAATAATATAATATTTATACATCGTCTAAACGATATTAAAATATTTGTTAACCGCGTTAATAAATATTCACGAATATTAATTATGTATGGCGAATTGAATATTTTTGTTATCATGTTATCTTTTCTTTTATAAAAGTATAAAAATTTAATTTTTATTATACGTGTCAAATTTATTATGTGTCTAAATATAAATATATGTCAATCCACCGTTACTTTTTTAATATGGTTTGTTTTGATGGTTCCTTTCATATTGAAAGTATTTTATTTTATTTGTCCTTTTTTAAAACTGTCAATTTTCGGCTTCTTTGTGGGTCGTTAGTTTTAGGTGTGCTTTTGTTTCTGATTTGGGTGTTGCTCCTTCACCACCACATCTTTCTTTCTCCACTTCTTATTTATTATTTTGTTTTTAAGTAAAATTTTATTTTTAGGATTATTTTTTAATTTTACCCATTCACAACCTATTTCACTATGAGTAAAATGTTTTTCTTTTATTTTAACATTATATTTCTTTCTCTCTTTCTTTTACAAGTTGCAAAGGTGGGTGGTGGTGAAAAGAATTATCAAGCAGTTTCCCTCTCGTAATGCAGTGTGTGGAGTGGTGCAGTGTGTTGCTTCCTCAAGGTGCGTATTCAAATAAACCTTCAAATAAAACCCTAAAATAAAAAACATAACCTTTAAGACATCCTTCAACAGATGTCAAAATGCTTCAACGGATAATGAAGAAGAAAGAAACGGAGGAGGAGAAGTGAAACGAAGAAGACAAATTGGATTGCAGAGTAAAATGAAAGACAAATTATTAAACGAAAATGAGAGATGGAAAAATTAGGTGCAGGAATAAAGTAGGAGAACTAGATTTGAAATAAATTAAAATAGTAAAAGTAAAAAATTTTAATCTAAGAATATAATTGGAATTAAAATAAATTGAGGAGGTGGAGGGAGAAAGGTGTGGTGGTGGAGGGAGCAACACGCTTCTGGTTTCCTTGACAAAAGAGAAGGGTTTCCAAGGCCCAAATTGCGCCATGTGCTCCCAAGTGTGCCATTTTCTTTCTACACAGTAGGAATATCTCACTTCACCCCCAAAAATACAAAACGATCAAACAAAATTTTGAACTTGTTTGTACCACAAAATTATATCTCCTGAAATATTTTACCTCGCCGGAGTCGTCAACCTT